GATTTATGCACTGCTCTTATGGACCACTTGCATTTCGATTTATTGCTTCCGCATTTGTGAGCCCCGTTTATTATACTCTGATTGTGTTAAACCTTTGATAGTTGGCCTTCGGTAATCTCGGATTACTGGCCATCACGGCACCAAACTACTAGGGGCGGTTTGGGGTCGTGACAGAATGGTATCAGAGCACAAGTTCCTTAGTATACGTTATTCACACACTTTGAGTCCTAAAGAGCATAGGATTTTCCCTTAGAAGGATGTTACGATTGCATCATATTGCTTGCTATGTGAATAAGGTGTGCATCGTTTCGGCATGCTTAACTGTTACTTGCCTACGTGTTTATCTGTTCATTTTGTTTTAAAGTCACATTTTGCATACTCATAGCATCATGAGGAGAGGTAGACCTCCAGTTGGCCGAGATCAGTCCGAGGACAGATTGGACAGACTGGAAAGGTTAGTTAAAGGTTTGGCCCGCGAGTTAAGGTAGACAAGACAGCAATACGCTAGTGCTACTTCGACTTAGGCCGAGCAAACAAACGGCCGAAATGTAGTTCCGCCTCCACCTCCACCTCCTCCAGTACCACAAGTGCTCCCACAGCCAGCTTTATATGGGGACGGCACGATAGCTTTGATTAGAGAGTTCAAGAAAATGAAACCACCGAGATTCCAGGAGGGCATAGAGCTGATGAAGGCCGAAGCGTGGATTTTGGAAATGGAGAAGCTGTTCGAGATCTTTCTCAGCACCGACACCCAGAAGGTGACATTAGCAGCTTTTACACTAGATGACGACGCTCGCAGATGGTGGATGATGGTTCGAGAGCAATCCAGACTTGATCTGGACTTGATTTTTGGAGTTGTTTTACACCAAACATTTTCCCTTAAGTGTTCGAGATCGCAAGGCTACCGAATTTCAGACTTTGACGCAAGGCAGTAGAACAGTAGCTGAATATGACCGTGCCTTTACCGAGTTGGCGAGGTATGCACCCCAAATGGTCAATGATGAATATATGAAGGCTAGGAAGTTCGAAAGTGGGCTCCGTGGACCGATACAAACTGGATTAACATGCTCAACATGCCGACTTACGCTGGAGTGTTGGAAAAAGCCATTCTGGCCGAAGCTAACTTGAACAGATACCAGAGTTCGGGAGAGAGCCAGAGGAAGAGGCAGAGTTATGACAATCGCCGAGCACAGTTTGGTACCAAGAAGAAAGCGAATGTTGGCAGTTCAAGCAATCCAAGGCAGGAAAGTAGAACTAAGCCGACATGTTCCAGTTGTGGGAAGCCACATTTCGGGGTCTGTCGTCGGGCGTCTGGAGCTTGTTACGAATGTGGTGAAATAGGTCATTTTGTGAGGGACTGTCCAAAAACAAGGGTTGATGATGGTAAGAAGGATGAGAATACCTCGGGTTCCGTACAGAAAGGTAACGTTGGGAAATGACAGATGAGGCAAGGCAGAGTTTTTGCACTGGTACCAGGAGACACTTAGAATGCTGAGACAGTGGTGTTAAGTATACTCCCAATTTGTTCTCAAAATGCATATGTATTGATTGATTCGGGTTCAACGCATTCATTCATTTCTGCTAAGTTTGCCGAAAAGATTAATAGGAAACTAGAACCCCTTGATTAAGTGTTATCTGTATCTACTCCATCTGGGAGATCTATGAATGTTACATCCATCTATCGAGCATGTGTTGTTGTGATTGAGAATGTTGAATTGTTAGCTGATTTAATGCCATTGGACATAAGTCATTTTGATGTTATATTGAGGATGGATTGGTTAGTGGCAAATCACGCATCCATAAATAGTGTTTCTAAAAGTGTCACATTAAAACCCCCAAACCTAGCCGAGGTCACGTTTCAGGGTAAATGAGTGATATCTCCACCTTACTTAATCTCATCCATGAAAGCCTCTAGGTTGATCCAAAAAGGGTGTCAAGGTTATTTGTGTAGTATATTAAGTAATTTGAATGGAAGTGTTGAGTTAGCCGACGTCCCAGTTGTTAATGAATTCCCCAACGTCTTTCCAAACGATTTTCCTGGTCACTTGGTC